GGCGCAGTGGTTTAAACCACTGTGCTGCTGGGCTGGTAGATCGAAAGGTCGCCGGTTCAAATCTGCACAACAGGGTGAGTTCCCGTTGCTCCGTCCCAGCTCCTGCCAGCCTTGCAGTTCGAAAGCATGCAAATGCAAGTAGATAAAAAGGTACCACTTCAGTGGGCAGGTAACAGCGTTCTGTGCACTTCGGTGTTTAGTCATGCCGGCCACATGACCATGGAGACTGTCTGAGGACAAACACTGGCTCCCTCAGCTAGGAAACGGAGATGAACACCGCTCCTTAGAGTCAGGCATGACTGGACATAATGTCAAGGGGAAACCTTTACCTTTACCTTTACCTTACCCCAATAACTGGTATAGCATGAGATAACTAGTACTGTTCATTTTAATAGGTGCAGGTGCATTGTTCTTATTTTCTTAATTACATATTCGCTATGCTGAAAGACCCCTTCATGGATCACTGCCTTGCCGTGATCATGCAAAGATAGGCATGATAAAGGACCAAAATGGCAGTGACCTAACAGAGGCAGAAGAGATTAAGAAGAGTTGGCAAAATTACACAGAAGGACTATACAAGAAAGAGCTTAATGTCCCTGATAACCACAATGGGGTGATCACTGACCTTGAGCTAGACATCCTGGAAAGTGAAGTCAAATGGGCCTTAGGAAGTCTGAGCAACAACAAAACTAGTGGAGGAGATAGTATTCCAGCTGAGCTATTCAAAATCCTAAAAGATGATGCAGTAAAAGTGCTACACTCAATATGCCAGCAAATGTGGAAAACACAACAGTGGCCACAGGATTGGAAAAGGTCAGTTTACATTCCAATTCCAAGAAGGGCAATCCCAAAGAATGTTCAGACTACCAGACCATTGCACTCATTTCACATGCTAGCAAAGTTTTGCTCAAACTCCTACAAGCTAGGCTTCAGCAGTATGTGGACCGAGAACTACCAGAAGTACAGGCAGGGTTTTGAAGAGGCAGAGGAACTAGAGATCAAATTGCCAACATACAATGGATCATGGAGAAAGCTAGGGAGTTCCTGAAAAACATCTTCTTCTGCTTCATTGACTACTCTAAAAACTTTGATTGCGTGGATCACAACAAATTGTGGCAAGTTCTTAAAGAGATGGAATTATCAGACTTCTTATTGGTATCTTGAGAAACCTGATGCGGGTCAAGAAGCAACAGTGAGAACTGGACATGGAAGTACTGATTGGTTCAATATTGGGAAAGGAGTATGGCAAGGTTGTATACTGTCGCCCTGCCTATTTAACATATATGCAGAGCAGATCATGAGAAAGGCGGGGTTAGATGAATCACAAGTTGGAATTAAGATTGCCAGGAGAAATATCAACAACCTCAGATATGCAGATGATACCACCCTAATGGAAGAAAGTGAAGAGGAACTAAAGAGCGTCTTGATGCGGGTGAAGGAGAAGAGTGCAAAAGTTGGCTTGAAACTCAACATCAAGAAAACTAAGATCATGGCATCTGGTCCTCTCACTTCCTGGCAAATAGATGGGGAAGAAATGGAGGTAGTGACAGATTTTATTTTCCTTGGCTCCAAAATCATCGTAGATGGGGACTGCAGCCAAGAAATTAAAAGACACTTGCTCCTGGGGAGGAAAGCTATGGAAAACCTAGACAGCATGCTAAAAAGCAGAGACATCACCCTGCCGACAAAAGTTCGTATAGTCAAAGCTATGGTTTTCCCAGTGGTGATGTATGGCTGGGAAAGTTGGTCCATAGGGAAGGCTGAGCAGCGAAGAATTAACGCCATTGAATTGTGGTGCTGGAGAAGACTCCTGCGAGCCCCTTGGACTGCAAAGAAATCAAATCTGTCAATCCTAAAGGAAATCAACCCTGGGTGTTCTTTGGAAGGATCAATACTGAAGATGAAACTCAGATACTTTGGTCACCTTATGAGAAGGAAGGACTCACTGGAGAAGACCCTGATGCTGGGATCGATTGACAGGAAAAGGAGAAGTGGATGGCAGAAGTTGAGGTGGCTAGATGGAGCCACTGGGACAGTGGGTGTGGGTTTGGGTGGACTCCGGGGGATGGTGGAGGACAAGAGAGCCTGGAGGAATGTTGTCCATGTGGTCATGATGGATTGGGCATAACTTTGCGACTAAAAAACAAAAATGCTGAAAGAAAGACAAGAAGTTGTGATTTTTCTATTACCCACCTTTGGCTATACTGCCGGAATCCTTAGTCATCCACATTTGTAAATTCTGAGGACAGGTAATGAGAACCATGCAATGTAATTTTTTTTGTGGTGGGTCAATAGAAATCCTTTCTAGGATGTGGACTGGCAATCTTGAGTAGATGGGAATGCCCTGTTGCTTCCATAAATTGTGGCTCATAGCTTTTGTATAATTCCTCTTGAACATCTTGGTTTTTTTTTAATCTACCAAGAAAGAACATAAAAATATCCACATAACTGTGGACACCATTCTGCCCTACATTTTCAAATTGCATTTAATAAGGGTAGGATTCATCCTTTTTTGAAACTCTAGAAATTGGTTTTTAAGCTCCACATTTATATTGTTGTTAGCTATTTCTAAAAAGACATTTTCTAAATGTTGGACATGCTGAATCAAATTTGCTGGGAAACCACACCAGTAGAGGGCGAACTGCTGGATTACTACAAACAGCTAGTGGTAATCAGCATGCCATGTTAATCCATACCACAGATTTCTTGTTCTGTTAGGTAAGGTACCTTTTCCTGGTACAACTTCCATCTTTTCTAATTTGATACCACACAGCAACATGTTGGGCACTTGAGAAAGTACCATGTTGGAAAGCAAACGCTTTCATAGTTTGTTTCATATGATGGCACTTGTGCAACTTTTGTTAAAAGCTTACTAAAATAATTTGGCTGGTCTATATGGATTTTTCTTGCCCTGAAACAACAAAGAGACAAGGTGAACTTCAGACCCATTATTCTATGATTGCCCTGATAAAAATAGGAAGCCAACAACAGGTTGGTATAGAGGCCTATAAATTAGTAAACTTCAGTATGAGTTCAACTCTTTAAAAAAATTACCAGCAAGATATAGACAGAGATGGAGTATTTCTAAAAAACAATCAAACAAACGGATTAAAAGCTTTCTGCTAGAGAGGTGTGTGTGTGTGGGGGGGGGGTTGCATCATGTTTTTATTTATTACATTTGTATACCATCCTATAGCCCATAGGGCTCTCTGGGTGGTTTACAGAATAGAAGTATAACACTACAAATAATAAAATTGATTCAAACCAAACAATGCAGTGCAGTGTATTACTGAAATAAGGCAGTGCAGCTATTATATAATTTATGTTCTTTTTATTGCCAGGTTAGTAAGCTCTTTAAGCATAGCAGAATGAGCAAGAGATGATTTAAAAGGCTCGGAAAAACAAGAAAATTAGTAAGGCGTAACTTGGTGGACTTTAGTGCACACAGAATTAACTAAAGATGTAAGCATGTTATAAGACATATCAGCATGTCATACTTGATTTGAACAAACAAACCAGCAAGCAAGCAAGAAAATGTCCAGACCTTGTGGATATAGGATTTCCACACAAGCTGAGTGATTTCTCATTGCTGGTGTTTACTGCTTTTATACAAGCTGTACAGATAGAATTCCACAGTTGCTAACACTTGAGATTCCCAATTCATTAAAAACAAAACCAAAAAATCTAGATTTTTAATGTGAGAAACACAATGGCTGTTGTGATTGAACTGGATGGATAACTAGATTGAGTGTGATTGCTGCCATGTAGTAATACCCATGTAAAAGGAAAAATGGCAACACAAGCATTTTTCCCCATGACTCTGTGTCAAGATACACCTGCTGAAATACCCTTTTGTATGCAATTATTATAGTTTTTTATTATTGAACAAGCAGTGGCCTGGCCCTGATTTAGCATGGTAGTTCTGGCACAGCTTACAGTCCATTTCAAGACATATAGTATTTTGTGAATTCTCACAAGAGTAATTCTCTTGTCTTCAGAAAATTACTCTACTGGTTATTAGTGCAGGTGTACCCACATCCAAAGGTACCCAACCTCCCTTCACTCCTTCAGCCTTTAGATGTGGTTGTTGACAATGGTAATAAATTTTTAAAAAGTTAGTGTAGTAAGTTCTTCCTCTTCTTGCATCCACTGCTGATCAGCTATTCAAAACACTGAAGCGAGGTAGGGGAGAGAAATGGGGAGGCTAGGAGTGGAGAGAAACAGAAAGATAATGGAGTGAATGGGAAAGAAAAAGTTAGGAGGTAGCAAGGGAGAGAAATAGCTTTGCTTAGAGTTGTGCCAATTTTGGGAAATCTGACTTATTCCTTACTCAGATTCCTTCCCTCCAGTGAGAAGAAATTAGGGTGCAGGAAGAGGGTTGGTAAGCGTCATCCATAGTCTGAGATGAGATTTGTGTTTTTAAAAAGAACTGCAAAAGGAAAGGAAACTGCAATTTACAAGTACAATTTGTGCAAATTGGAAGCCTGCTATCCAAAAAGGTTGTAGACACTTGAGTTAGTGGGTCATAGGTATATCACTCTAGTGCTTAAAAATGAAAGTTTATGCATGGTTAAGCCAAATGCCTTTACTCTGCTTTGTATTCTGTGGAAACTTAACTTGAGGTTCAAGGAATTACATGTGCCCAAGGGACCGTGTGACTTTTTCCTCCTTTTATTGTTCTGTCTTTTTAATATACAGAGTGATTTTGAAAATTTAAAAGCTTGCAAAACCATTTACCATTCACCTTTGGAGAATGTGAGGAGTACTGACTGAAAAACAAAGAACTAGAGCCGGGTCTTCACAACCTAAACAGGTTGTGAACTTCTGTGGATCCTGGACATGGTTTCTCCCTGGAAAAAAGCTCTTTGTCTGCCTTACTCTGTTTCTGTTGTGCTGTGTTGTAGTGCTTTAAAATAGTTGCAGCTGCTTCTGATTTTCCCACCTGCCAGTTGTCAGTGTGTTGCAAGTGGGTAAAGGCCTTCTGACATTTCTTTTCACAGTTCCTATCTGGTGTGGATGCCTGGTGCAAAATGTGCAGCGAGGGAGGCCTTCCATCAGAAATGCAAGACCTGGAATTGGCCATCCATCATCATCAGTCCCTCTATGAACAAGTCACCCAGGCTTACACAGAGGTGAGTGCTTACGGAAGAGTCTTTAGTAACCACTAGAAGATTGCACTGTTTAATTAACAGATATAGTTGGCTGTGCATTTGGGGTTCAAAAAAACTATTAGCTGAATAATTTGTAGGAGACATATATCTGCCTTTCCATTGCCATGCTGATGTGACTGCTTAAGCAGCTTAACTAGTAACTGCTCTATAATTCTTCTCTGGTGGTCTGTGAGAAACCATATTCACAAGAGACTAACAATGTAATCCTGTATAAGTTTCCTCAGAAGTAGCCCCATCAGCTAATTGCCAGGAAAGTGTATACAAGAGTGCAGCCTCAGACTGCACATGTAAGCATACTTACTAGGAAGTATTCCCCACTGGACATAGCAGGACTTAGCTTTGAGTAAGCATAGCTAGGATTGTGCTGTAAGTTCAGTATGGAGCATGGGATCCGAACAGCAGTTAAGCAAATCTACTATAGGACCACAGCACAGTACAATAGGCAGAATGATGGAACGAGATAGCATAAAGTATGTCACAAGTGAAAAAGTCAACATGGACGGTATTACATCCTTCTTTAACACATAATTACTATTCCATGGTTTCCCTTGTTAGTTTGTTATAGTACTTGCTGGGCCTGAAGTGCAGCAAGGTGGTCTTGCATCTAGGAGTTAGGGTTGCCAACAAGCCTATATATTCCTGCTTCTTTAAGCTACTAGTATAACCCACATCTCTACTCTCTTTGCAATATAATGAGTAAGCATCTTGCAACTCTATGTAGGCTGCATTCATCTTGGAAGATGCAAATGATTTCCCAAAATTTATTTAACTTGTATTGAATGGTGCAGTGCATGGAATTTTTTGTGGCATGTTTGGAATTAGAGAAGGCTCATTGTCTAAATTGGCTTCCCTGATACAATGTCTAATCCGTATAGTACCATGGTAGTCTCAGCGGTCTAAACCTAAAACATCTGTATTGTGTGACATGAGCAACTGTTAGCTACTAAAGCTGGGGTAGACAACTTGTGGCTCTCCAGACATTTTTGTCTATAACTCCCATGACTGTGCTGCTAGGGCTGATGGAAGATGTAGGCTAAACCATCTGGTAAGCCACAAACTGCCCAGCCACATATTATTTATTTATTTAAAACATTTCTATGCCGCCCCCATCACAACAAAGCCTCGGGGCAGCTCACAAAGAATACATAAATACATACATAAATAATAATCATATAACAATTAAAAAATGTTTAAAAAACCCCCGGTGCATTCTCGGCTAAAAATTTTAAAATCCTAATTAATTCAATAATTTAACAATTAAAAAAAGTTTTAAATAAAAAGGTCTTAGACTGGCGCCGAAAAACAAATAACGACGGTGCCAGGTGGACCTCTCTGGGGAGCGCATTCCTTAGATGGGGCGCCACCACAGAGAAAGCCCTCCTCCGGGTACTTACCCTCCTAATATCATTCACAGAGGGTTCCCGGAGAAGGGCATCCGTTGCTGATCTCAGGGGGCGGGAGGGCATATATGGGCGCAAGCGTTCCTTTAGATATTCAGGTCCCAAGCTGTTTAGGGCTTTATAGGTCATAACCAACACCTTGAATTGGGCCTGGACTTCAATCGGGAGCCAGTGGAGCTGACGGAGAACTGGGGTTATATGAGAACAACGCCCAGTCCCCGTCAGCAACCTGGAAGCTCTATTCTGCACCAATTGAAGTATCTGGACCATCTTCAAGGGTAGCCCCACATAGAGCGCGTTACAGAAATCTAATCGGGAAGTTACCAGCGTGTGTGTTACTGTCGCCAGGCAGTCGTTCTCCAGGAAGGGACGCAGCTGATGTATCAGCCGAAGCTGAAGCGCTCCTCGCCACCGCCGTCACCTGGGCTTCCAGAGACAGCTCAGGGTCGAGGAGCACTCCTAAGCTGCGAACCCTGTCCCTCAGAGGGAGTGCAACCCCATTTAGGACAAGGCCCAAGTCCCCCATCCCCAGGCCCGAGCCACCCACCAACAGGACCTTCGTCTTGTCTGGATTGAGCTTCAGTTTATTGGCCCTCATCCAGTCCATTACAGAATTAAGCACAGAATGTGTTCTTGGCAGAAAGGGATATCAAAACTTTATTTTGCTGAAGTCCAAATGCCATGCTCAGAATATTACACAGAAAACATCCACACCCACCCACCCACATCCATTTGCAAGCAAATATCTTTTTGCAGCTTTGCTTTCTCTTTACACCTGACTGCTTAACAGTTGTTAGAGGAAAACCAAGCAACAAATAAGCTTCTTTAAGCCTGCTTTTTCAGTGTTTCTAGTTGGTGGATTCTTAATTTTAACAGAACAGACTTTCTAGGGCATTGACAAGGCAATATTTTTCATTTTGGATCCACAATTAATTTTTTAAAAATATTTTTAAAATATTTTAAGTTATATATTCCAAACAAACAAAAGCAGTCAAACTAGTGACAGCCACTTCAGTGTGTTCCTTAGATACTTTAGAGGGGCTTTCAGTGACTATAACTTTGAAAGTTGCAAGAACTGATAGAGATTTTCACCAAAGATGAATACATAAATAAAGTAGGAGAAGCCAGAAGTCAAGGGGAAGTGGAAGAACAACCCACAATGAGCACAGTGAAATGTCAGGCATGCTGTGGGTTGTTTCATGAACAACAGCATGGGTTGTCCTGGTGTGTAAACATGGTGACTGAATTCACTGGGGAGGAATTCAGGAAGTAGAGATCAAGAGATACAGTGAGAATCAGGAAAACTTCCACATCTCCACCTGACCTCAGTCTAGCTGTATTTCATTTTCTATCCTGTTGGTGAGGGCTAGGTACACCTTGTGAAAAAGTATGGTTTTATACTTTATAATGATGCACTGAAAAAGTGAGAGATACAACCTCTTAAAAGACCATCTGAAACTTTTACATCTCATTATGCCAGAACTTGAACCTGAAGTAGATCTTGAGCTGACAACCTGAGAATGCACGCATAGTTCTGCAGGAAGATTAGACAGGGAATAGACTGAATTGATGAGATCATACTCCATCCAGTTTGTGAAAGCTTCTGAGTTGGGCTTTCTCATTGGCCTAAGCAACTAGGTGGCTGCTCTTTCTGTTTGTTGCTTCCTATAGCTCAACATCAGCTTACCTCAGTGTCCTCTCAGCCCTGAGTCATCTAATTCAGTATACTATGAGCAGAAGCTGATGCTTGGTTGGGAAAAGATGAATAGAAATGCACAAGTTCCCCCTTAATATGCCCTCATTCCTCTTGTAGGGATTCGCCATAGTGTGCTACCATCAGTCCTGAGTAGTGATGCTACTTAATGTTTGTGAATAAGTGATTTGTTGTGCAGATTTCTCACTCTTGATATATATTAAGGCAATCCTCCTTGTCTGAAAATGGTCTTCCACTTACAGTTTAAATTGAACATGTCAAAAGTTCATGTGCCTATTTTCTGCCTGTGCAGTCTGTAGATTAAAATATCCTCACCCAACCTGTCAAGTAAAAAGAATTGCCAGACAAACCAATCAATTAAAAGAAATTGGCATAGTGACTAATACATCAACCGATCACGCCTGAATAATTTCAAAGGATAGAAAAGTACAGTAATACCTTGGTTCACGAACGCTTCTGCTCGTGAACAATTCAGTTCGTGAACAGAAAGTTTAGCAAAATTTTGCTTCCATTCATGAACTCCGCGTTGGGTGACAAACACAATTGCAGCCATCTTCACTGCTCGAACACGCTCTGATATGTGGTCGCTCTGACACGTGGTCACGATGTGGGGAACATGACCATGGTCGTGTTCGCATGGACACGAATGTGGCCATCTTTCCCACTCTAATCCGTGGTTGCGGCTTCCTCTAGTCGAGATTGCTGTCACAGACTCTCCCTCCAAACAAGAACCTCCTCCCCACCCACCTTCCTGTCCTCCACGCCAGAAGTCGCCTCAAGCACGGTTAATGTTCTCTCTCTTCATAATGTACTGTACTGTACTTTGTTTCATATTTTTGTGGTTTAAAATAATTACATATGGATCAGAACAGAGTAACCTTATTTACATTGAACCTTATGGGGAAATTTGACTCAGTTCATGACCATTATCATAGAACAAATTAAGTTCATGAACTGAGATACCTTTGGATCAGGAAAATTTTTGATTCCCAACATAGAAGGAGAAGAAACATTATATGGATGCTCAGACAACATTCTGCCCTGAAATGATCGTGAAGATGGCATGTGAATTAAATAAGTAACCCCCAAGCAGCAGTGTAAGAACACACACACATGCGCACACAGACAGGGAGGGAGGGAGGGAGAGCTTGAACAAACACCATTTTTAGAGCTCTTGGGAAAAGTTAGTTTTGAGTGCTCACCAATGAAGCTTTTAATTAGTGACCCAATTGTGATTTGATCTGGGGTGTGGAATTCACGAATCTCTACTCATTTCTGTGCTGATTCTTTTCCAACAAACTATATGATAGATGTTTCACAGCTGCTCTGTAAGTGCATTTTGACCTTGAACAATCCTTTACAAATGCAAAGTGCTCACATAAAAGATTCTTATTTTTAATTCCTAAAGGGAGCTCTAGAAGGCTTAAACATCCTCTAGCTTCTTTGTAAACAATTGGGTCTTTGAAAACCATTCATTCCTCCATAGAGACTTTCAGGACTCAGATAATTCATATTCTTTTTCTTGGAATTTCTGCAACAAAACCTATAACCATGTATGGATTCCTCTAGTTTATTCATTGTGAAATAGCAAATATTGTATGAAGCAAAGCAGTTAACGAGGTTTTAATTTATTGATGTTATTATATTTTTGCTAACAGGCCTGAAGAAAAATAGTTTTGAGAATTATCTTTCTTACTGCTTTGTAGAATTGTTATAAACTAAAAGCCCTTGCATTCTTTCACATGCGGTTTTCACCAACATTTCAACTTAGAAGAGCCTTTTATATAAGCAAAAAATGGCAAAAGTGAATTTCCTCTGATTTCCTAAGCTGAAAGTGAAGTTTGTGAATTACATGCTTGGACCTTGGAAAGAAATGATCCAATGACCTTCTGAATTTGCAGTTCCAGCCAAATTTACATGGAAAGCAAAAGAAAAAAAATCATATTTGAATTATGAATGATTTTTTAAATGATGCATAAAGCAAATTTATTTTGGCGGTTTCATAGGATTCATGCTTGACAGATTTATCCTCTTTAATCTTACAGGTTAGCCAGGATGGAAAGGCTTTGCTGGATGTTCTACAGCGTCCCTTGAGTCCTGGGAACTCTGAATCTCTTACTGCCACAGCTAATTATTCCAAGGCTGTTCACCAAGTTTTGGATGTGGTCCATGAAGTCTTACATCACCAAAGGCGCTTGGAGAGCATCTGGCAGCACAGAAAGGTCCGGTTACATCAGAGGCTTCAACTTTGTGTTTTCCAGCAAGATGTTCAGCAGGTAATGTGATTTATCAGGGTTGTGAAACTCAGACCTATGTAGACTAGTCCATTGTAGCCCTAAAATCACCTTGTGGGCTCATTTGGAAAACCTTATAAATAATCTTTATATCTCCTACACTGCTTACACTGATATAATTTGGTATAAAATAGCTTCCACAGACCTTGTCATATGGGAGGTCACCATTTATTATGTTAAGTATTAAGAAAGCCTTCCAAAATTATTTTAGAAATTATTTTTGTGAGCAGTTAATACCTATCAGAACTACTGTCTGGACTGAAGAATACAAAAAAGTAGCAGGAATGATAAAATAAACAATATCCTTGCACTATTATCTGGATTGAATATATTTTATATGATCAATGAGTGATGTTGGCGAGTAACATTGGAAAGTGATTGGGAAATTGTTCAGTTTTTCTTGGAATGTGAGAACTCTGGGTACAGGCATTAAAATTACAGCATATCTAAAATTAGCTAACAACAGTGCAGTTGTTAGTCTGGTTCAGACCTAACATTCCTGGCTTATACAGTAGGAAGCAAGAAAAATCAGACCTTCCCTTGTGCAAACAGAATAGCCTTTCTGCTCATGCAGAGCACTTCTGGATTGAACCCATAATATTGAACCTTTAATACAAGCTTCAGACATGGAGCAGACTGAGATAGTCTAAACAGCTGTGCAGAAGGGTGTGGGGGGGGGGGTGCAAGTATGCCGCATGGGGAGATGCTCACAGTCCAGGCACAGATCTGCTCACAAAAGGACCTGTATCTACTTATGTGGAGAGATAAATGGAGCTTAGCTTTCAGTGTTATAAGCAAGACTGAAACACAGATATATGTGGAATGATGTTGATTCCTATGCTGAGTTGGCTTTCTAATTGTTGATTAAACATCTGGCCTTTTTGGACAACTGTAAAGTTGTGTGGGTAGGTTGGGATATATTTCCCTTTTAGGATTATTATAAATTTTTGTGAAATGCTTTGAACACTCAAAAGCCTAGTAAAAATATCGTAATCTTTCTTATAGGATGCCCATGGCTTCAAACACAACATTTTGCTTTCAAATATCACTGCTGCCAAATCCGTCCTTCCCCATTCTCCTGCTCTCCTTTCTTTCTCTTCCATTAGCCAGTAAAGGTTCACATTTGGGAGTTACTGTGCAGAACCAATATGCACAAGACACCCAGAAACCAATATTGATTCAACAAACCTGAGAAATATGCTTTTAATCCTTTCCAAATACAGTGGCAAGGAAATATCTTCTGTTTCTCTGGAATACCGAGACAAATGTTTGTATTTTCAATTACTGTATTGATTCAGTTTCAAGGCCTTCACACTAATCTTGTAATAAGATATGCATGTATTTGTGAAGACATAAATGTCAGAGTGCTTATATTTCTTTACATATTAACTGCTACAGATTACTGCCAGTGGTGTGGCTTCTATACCTCAACAAATGTCTGTATAAATGGAAGTCAAAAGACTAGTGCGGGCAGATCAGTATGTCCTTTTGGTTTTTCATGTGCAAGAGACAGAGACAGAGGTAGAGGTGTCTTACCTTCTGCCATTCACAAAGAGTTATCTCAAGATATACATTAATACCATATGATCCCAAAATAACATATTTAAAACCACACAGTATTATGCCTACTTTTCTGAGGTATGGTATATCTGTATTATTTGGAATTAATATGAGGGATAATTATTTATTACATTTCTTTGTTCCCACGGTGAATTATAGTGTACAATGAGCATATTACAACATACATGAAATTCAGTTTGAAATTCTAAAAGACTCCAGATACATCACAAAAATAATAAAAACAGATCAAACAGAAAATTACAGAGCACATTTTTTTGCTTCAGAAACGTCCAAAGTGATCCTAATCAGGGAGTTCTGTATATGAGACCTAAGAAGGCTCAAATCTTTGTTCTTGCATCTCTGTGTACAAGGAGAGGAACACAGCATTCATGAACAAGTTTTGGCTCTTTTGTCTCTTACAGGTGTGTGTGTGTGGGTATCTATTCTGAGACACCAAACTGCTCTTCAGGGAGTGTCTACCTAAGAGGGGCTGAGCTGAGGGAGTTGAGCAGGAATGTTGGGCCAAACTCTTCACGGAGACTTCAGCAGTCACTACAGCGGCCATTCCATTAGGCTGTCTGAGGAGACTTCAGAGGGGAAAGCAGGACCATTTCACCAGCCATGCTGAAAGGCTTGCAGGAAGTCCCCTCTCCCCAGGGCAACAGGTTGTATGGAGAAAGATAAGAGGCAAGTGGGGGCCTTCCACCAGCACTGCTAGAATATTTCCCCTCCCTTTCTTCTCTGCCTAATTTTCTTTGTGGCCCGTGTCTTCTTAGCCCTTGCCCACAAGGTTGGAATCTATCTTATTTAATTAACTGTATGTAAACCTATGTGGGAGGTCCTAAGAATAAGAAAATTCAAAGAGCTGCAGTCTTGGTTTATTGGTTCCTTAATGGACAGACAGACACTAGTAGGCTCTTGTAAATGAATGTGTTCCAATAGTGTCCACAAAAACTTTTGTATTTTCAGGAGAATACCAAGGATGTGAAGGCCAGTTTTAGTTTTTTTCTAATTAAAAGAGAGGTTCAGTGCTTTAAGGTTGCAGCACTTAAATGGATGATATTCAAGTTCCTATTTTAATTTAAATGACTGAAATAATCCATTTTATCAATTTAGATCTCTCAAACTACCTGTAAAGAAATTGGTAAACTGATAATGTGTGTGATAAAATATATGTATATCTGATTATTTAATCTCCTACTCGCTATATAGTAGTGTTTTCTGGGGCTGCTGAAGGAATCAGTGATACAAATGGGACCTGCAACAATATGTCAGCTATTGGGCAGTATAACAATGGAATAAATAAATAAATGTTGCTGTGGATCCTCACCCCTACAGTAGTGCTCATGTTCAAGACTCTAAGAAACTAATCAAACATTATTTGGGGATACTATAACATGTGAGAAGCTCAGGGAAGCGAATTCATTCTCTTCAGTTTTCTACTTTCTTTTCCATGCTGATACTCAACATTCCCTAGTTCCTAGTATCCACTGCGTATGTCAGTCCTTACTAGTCTGCTTTTGCAGGGTTGTCTGATTTTGGTCTGTATGTTTTTTAAATTGTTTTGTGTTTCTCCAAACCACTGAATTCCCTGAACAAACTGATACTTCTTGCTTTGTTTCTTGATGGCCCTGTTTCAGTAGAGAAGCAATGATTTTGCTGTTAGAGGTGATGAAGTATACTGCTGGACTGACTGTTATTAGCTATAACTTTCCTTTCTCATTAAGTTGAAAACCTCCTTCCAAATTGAAATATGCATCATATCCAACTATGCACTACTTTTTCCAATAATAAATGTTAGTTGCATTGCACAAGGATTGGTTTATGCCTTTGCAATGACATTAGCACTAGTGGTGAGGCACAACTGAATACTAACATATATCTGTATAATTTAGTTGTTTTAATCACATTTTTAAAGGTATGTTTCAATGACTGGTTCAAATAGAATCTACACTGAACAAAACAATGAATATTCAAAGGCATTACCCAGGTATAATGTAGAGGTGACTGGTGATGTCAAACTGAGCAGTTAATAAGCATGGACCTCATTCTGAGAGCTTTTGCTAATTGAACGGTTTATAAAAACGCAAATAAATAAATAAATAATAAATAAATAAATGTGATGCTACATACCCTGCAAGGAAATTGAATAAAATTATTCCAAATGAAAAAATGATGCTTAAATACCTCAGCAGACTGCCTCAAAAACCCATTTTGAAATGATTGCATCTTCAAGTAATGATATTTCCTAAGAATATTTTGCAGGGCTTATTCTTTAACCATGCCCTGTCATTTGCATAATTTGATTTGAACTTTCATCTGAAATTAGTCTGATACTGTAATTCCTTTCTCCTCTCTACAGTTGTTAATCAAAACAGATTATTCTACACTCTGTAGTTTAAGCAGTTCTGATTAGTGAGTTAGCATTACTGTTACTGGTTTTCGATATGCATGTAATCTTGTACTGATGTTTTAAAGAGAGGGTTTTTTTTTAAATGATGAATCGCTTTTTGCCTTAATATAAGACTCTGGGAACAATATTTGTTCTGGTCCTTTCATAAAACGGAATCTAAAAGAACTTAGACTAGTTAAGGCTGATCTCGAAACCTAATATAATAAAGAATGAAAATGAATATCATCTAGCCAGGGCAAAAACTTTTTAATCCCTTTGGTTTCAATTACATAAAATTGACTGTACCTATGTGAGTTCTACTTAGAGTAGACCCACTGAATTGAATGAGAGTCTATTATACGTAGAACTCACATTGGGTAAAACACGTTGTGTGTGAGAGTTTCCTGTTGAAATCATTGGTACCTCTTTGACTGAATCATGCCACCTTGATGACTAAGAAATGAGGTTTCGTTTAGCCCTACACTGTCTATTTGTAAAAAGGTTGAGGCGCTGCATTTTGAGACTACCCAGAAGCAATGCCTCCTTTCATTGAAACTCTGGGAAAGCACTTTGCTGATTATCAGGGTATATTCTCCAGGCTTCCTGCAGAAAAGTAAGGCTGTCAGGATGTAGTAATGTTGCTTTGGTCCTGAACCCGGTTTTCTTTTAGGATACTGCTAGTTATTCAGCACTCTAAAGATGCATGGCACTTTAGAGACTTTCAAGGAAGAAAAATAAGTCCATATGCCTGAGACACTTAGAATTCAAATTTCCACAAGTCATACATTTTATATAATTGCACTTTTTATCATACATTTTATATCATTGGATTCTGTACACATCATTTCAAAATTTGTGCCAGATACTGCACCAAGTCTCAGTTTCTTCATTAAAGACATATCTCATTACCCTCAGTGCAAACTTTAGAGTGCTGTTTTTTCTTAGCCAGTGACCAGCTGCTCTTTGTCCACCATAATATTTCAAAATGCTTAATTTTATAAGTATATGCGTATACTTATTCCAAAAGTTT